CCTTAAGAATTCGCAGTTGTCTTTCTTATTATATTATTGTTAATACAAACACGGGAGGTTAAAAAATTCTGTAAGCGATCCCTAGAAGGGTTGTGTCAACTTTAATAATACTAATCCCAACAACCCTCGTGTATTTGTATATATTAAAACTATACTTTCTTCTGCTGTTTTTCTTTTTTTCTTCTATGCTCCGATACACCCGCGAAGTTCTTGGTGACAAGCCTTTCGTTGTCTTATTTGAATAATGAATTACTCATGCAATCGGACAGAGAGTAAACAAGTATCTTGTTTTCTTGCTATCCCTTACTTAGTTGGTAAACTTAACAAAGAAGGTCGGTGTTAGCCAATTATATCCCGTGTAATATAAGTACATTGACTTTATTACATGAATATCTTCTTTTTTTATTAAAGTTTAAAAATATTTATTTGTTAAAATTTTATTAAAAAAATAAACAGATAATACATTTTTATTTTAAATATAAAATATAGGTTTTTAGTTAATAGTTTTTTTACTAATGTGAAAATATTGGTTTTTCTCTGTCGAATTTTTTTTTTGTCAGTAGACTAAACTGATCATTCTTACTAAACTGATTTTGCTTCACGATACGCCAAATCATTACAAATAATATCTAATAAAAATTACAAGATCATAGTTTTAAAAGCTTTTATTGTTATAAATTTTTGAAAACTGGATAAAACCTTCCAGACCGCATACTTTTTTGAAAATAAAATTAATATTCAAAGTACTGGGGTTTTAAAAACCATATCAAAATTTTTGTCTTATTCGTTTTTAATAACATTTCAAAATGTTTGACTTCTTCAAACCTTCATCAATCAAAAAAATATTCCGAGAACTCAATTTCTAGGGATATTTGGTCATTAAAACCAAAAATTATACATATTTCGGTAAATCTGAGATTTTATAGATTTTTCCACAATTACCGAATATCCATATTAATGTAGATATATTAAAATTAAGTTAATTTATGTTCTATATTATTAAAAAATAATCTAATTAAAAAAATGACGGATCAATTACAACTTTTGGACTAGTATTTTAAAATATATTAGCTTTTTATATCATGGTAGGAGGAATGCGCGGTTTATTAATGTCTAGAGATAAAAATTAACAGACCCTTGGTCCACCTCCAGTCAAGATTATAAAAATGCTAATATCTTTTAAAATCCTAGCCTAAGAGTAATTTTCTTGATTAAAACATTTTCTTATTTTTAAACTAGTAAAAAATATGTTTACATTTAAAAAAATTTAAGTTGATAGTATTTTAAAATGTGAAAGAGGGATAAGACATAGGAAATGATATAATTTATTTTTTTGAAAATTATGGAACATAGGACATTAACTTCAGAACTGAAAAATTTATAACATATTTTATACTTTTAAAGATATTGCATAAATCATAGTTAATAACTCATTCTGTATACATTTAGACTATTTATGTTTAATTGTGTTTATAATTATATTAATAAATAAAAATTACATTATGAATTTAAAAAACTTATTTATAGTTTTAATTCTTTTACTACATATAGTACACCATTTAAAAATTATATTTCATAAATTTTTTTCTCTTAACTTTGATGTTTTTATTTCTAAAATTTATTTTTAACGTGACCAATAGAAGTGGTAAAACTTATTATTAGACTCTTCAAATCATGTTTGAATACGTCACTGAGTTCTCTTGTGTTATTCAAAACGCTTATTGCTCAATTTTTAAAATATCATTCATTGTTAAAATAAATATTTACTTTTATTCTTTTTATTTCTTATAAAGAAATATTATAATTGGATATCGTACATTATCTTTTATATTTCATAATTTTCTCAAATTGCATAATAGCTGTAAGGCTCATGATCAAAAGATGATATGTAACAAAAATCTACTGCGGTAGATGTATAGTATACGCTTTATATTTGTTGAATATACTAATTAAATTTTATAAAACCTGAAAGATTAAAGGTAGCCTAAAATATACTTGTAATCATTATAAATTGCCTACACATATGAACAAAAATAATACAATTCAGTGTTTTGATATGTTTTCTAAATATTTGATAAACAATTATTTTAATCAATAAAGATCTTTCAAGTAATAAAAATTATTCTTTTTTGAGCTTCGATGCGAAGCTGAGAAGGTATTGGTATTATTATGACTTAAGGTTTATAAGAATTATAGACAAATTCTGATGAAGAGACATTTACTTTGCTTATAAAAAAGATTTCTAGACAAATATTCTTTGAAATTAACGTTTAAACCGTCTCCAAAATGAGGAATGATGACTGAAATTACTGAGGTATTCTTTTACACAACAAATGAAGTCACCTGAGTCTCGAACACTCATCAATGTAAGATTCTACCTCATTACAAAATTCACTATACCATTCTTCTTAGTTTGATATTACTCACAGTATTTGTTTTTGGTTAAAGAAATCTATTTTATTTGTGAATATCCGAAAAGAAAAAAATAGTGCTAGAATGGCTTTGACTAGTGAACTGAAAAAATTCGTCCCGTTGGTCTTTTGTTCAAGGTTGTGTGTCGTGGATATATATACAAAATTCGGCGTTAAAAAATGGTTGATGTATATAAGTATGTATAGTGCACCCTTACTAGTGGAAAGAGATCCGACTGAGATAGATTTGTATATAAAATGAAAAAGAAACTTTTGGCTTTGATGTGTTACCGTTATTTTACCCACGATGTTGGTCGTCAAAATAAAAATAAATTACATTAATATTGTGTACATATTCTTTACTATATTAATAACGTTCGTTGACCTCCAGTTTTGATTTTTCATCGTCGGAACATTTAATTTAAACTTTACCGTACCTTTATTAAAAATAAAATAAAAATAAATATACAAAAGCGTATATTCGCTGTATAAGATTTTCTTCTTATATTTGTTGTTCCTTTGAAATGGATTTGTTTGCTTGCATTTGAAGGAAAGGGACGCCTAAAGTTTCTTAACTTAAAAAGCACTTCGAAATATTTTTCTCATCAATAGCTTTGTTAAAATTAGAATTGCATTTATTTATTTATTAATAATATAGTATTCGTATAATATAGATAAACAATAAAATATATAGATATATTTATATGATAAATACTATAAAAGTTTGAAAGACCTCTTTTAAAAAAGTAGCAATGATTTTTTGTAGCATATATGAGTATATTTTTTACTTATTCAAAAGAAAAAAATACTTATAATATGGAAAGTATAACAGATGAGGAGTTATAACTTTAATGTAGAATCATGGTATAATTAAACACGTAAAAAATACCTTTCTTTTATTAAGCTTTACTTTGTAAATATTTGAAAAGTTTTATTATACAATGTGTGTTCGTGTAAACAGTTCAGTGGTTTCGAACTATCAACTCATAAAAGAGCAGACGCTATTGGTTTTTGCTTTTGAAGAGATTAAAACACAAATGAGAAAACTTCTTCTTCAATTAATTGTATACACACTTTTCAAAATTCGCATGTGTGTATTTCATCAAATAACTTCTTCTTACATGAGTAGTGTCTTTCATGAAAGGGATGACTTGATATTTTGCTTTTACTTAAAGTAAATAAGTCATTAATTCGAGGAATTATGTTTACTAGCTAATAAAATACACGAAACTACAATCACACTCAGTGTATTAATTTCACTGAAAATCTCAACTTACAAATTATCTAAATGTAACTTTATAAGATTAAAAGCTTATTAAAAAAACAAGATTATTATATTCGTGATATTTAAGAATATTTTGTTTACTTCAATAAAAAAATTGTTCAAATCAATTTTTAAATGAAAATTAATCAATAGTTGAAACTATAATGATTATTGAAAATGAGAAAATAATTTTTGTTTCAATAACTTTTTCATCGATAATTTTATTTGTTATAAGTCAGATTTGATATCAAGTATATAAAAATATATAAATTGACTGTTTGCGGGTTAATTGTCATGAGCGAAATTTTTACAAACACATTTTTTTCCTAAATAATTGAATGTAACTTATGGATACTTCAAATCTACCGATCTGATCATTTTTGGTAAAATGTCACTCCAAGTAGCCTACAAACAGTCGATATATTTTACAAATAAGGTACCGTGTCAAACTATTTACTTATTATCAGTTTTTACTAAGATTATCTTTGAGGTTATGATATGGTATAATATGAGGAAGGAAATATGACAAAATTAATGTTTATATCTTAAATCAAAACTTACTGTAAATTTTTTGTATGAATATGATTTAAAAATATTAAATAGTTCTTGATTTCAAGTTTTATGTATTATAGATACAGATTAATTTATGTTCATATAACTCAACATCTTACTTAGTAAATCTATTTTAGTGGTTTAGTAGAATCATAATATTGATAACTATGATAAAATTGAATGATAAAAGATTTTTTTATAATAAATAAAAGTGTTTTTATATGTAGTATTCAATATAAAATGTCTGCGTCTGATATTATAACATTCTCCCTTAAGTCAAAAAAAGTGGATTGTAAGATTCATGTCTCATAGAAAATGTTATTGTAATGCCGTCATCGACAATCCGTAAAGTACCTTTTTATAGGATTATCGTTTTGTCTTCTTTTGAAAGACATATACCTACGAAAAACATATTTTATGTCATACTAAATCTGACTGGATATTTTGCATTGGTTTGTTACGCCACAACTCTTCCTATGAAATCTATTTTTGAAATATAAGTAATACATGAAAAATATGATAATTTATAGTTTTATAAATAAATTCTACTAATATAATAGTTTTTTCCTTTAAAAAACGAAATTAAAAATTATTATTTACATAACACATTATTCATTTAATACTGAAACCAGCTAAGTTGATTGGTAAGTATAATTTTATTGAAATTTTGACTGTCTGTATTGTATAATTACGTAGGATTCCGGCAGGTGTTTTGTGCTAATGTGACAAAAAGAAATCGTATGCATGAACATTTAATTAATAACACGGAGAAATGATTACTTATTAATTTTTATTATTCTACAAAAAAAACTAGTTCAAAATTCAATTCTTATATTATGTCCTATGTGCTTCGTTGCACATTCAGGTTACTCTGCACCGACACATCTTTCTTCATTATTTACTCGTCGTGACTTTAACTGTATAATTATATAACAAAACAATAATATTAATTATTTTATAAAATAAAAGATGATAAAATTAAAACGATTCGTCTTAAATATAATAAATAAATAATATTTTATTAACTAATTTGAATGTATTTATTATACTTACATATTTTATACATTTAATGTGTTATTGTAAAAATAGAAAAATATGTAAATACATTCAATTTAAATAATAAGTATTAAAATTTTAATTATAGAAATACTAAACTTTTTAAATTATTATTATAACGCATATGTTTGTATCTCATATTTCATTTATATTTTACAATAAGTAAAAATAAAATTATAATTTATAATTACATTACATTACATTAATCTTAACCAAATACAATTAATTGAGTATTTTGAAATTACTATACGTATTCCATAAAATATATAAAAAACAATCTTGAATATTGTATATTTCCATCGTCGAATATTTAAAAATTGTTCGTAAACAAATATTCAACTGTTTATGAAAAAATTCTTTGATTTAAGTATTTTTCAATGTGAAAATAAAGCTGTGTTATATTTATATAAAAGCTATTTAATATTAAAAATATCATTTCATGCGGATCTATAACATTTACGATAATAAATAATTGATTAATCAATAATCAGTATAGTAAATAATTATTATTTACTAATAGTAGTCTTTAATTTGTGATGTAGAAGGTGTAACAATCCGTAAATGAAAAATGTCAACTCAATTTTGTTTTAAGAAGTTAATATATCACGTTTTATTTAAATTTTTTAGCTGATGAGCAAAAAAAAAAGTCTCTTAAAAAATCAAGTATTGTAATAGTTAACTTTATTAGACGTAATACTTTAACTTAACTTATGAGCTTATATGTTGTTTGCATACATCATAATTTAAAATAGATTATCAATACATATTAAAATAGGACCTAACTTATTTATTAAAAATATTAAATTAAATATTGGTAAATTTATCTCATAATTTTCTTATAAAAGTAAGTTTTTACCAAATAAATTATTTAACATTTTATCATCTTGTTCATAGAATGTATGTACAATTGTAATAAATTAAAATTATATTACTTAATTTGTACAAAATATTTTTTAATTACATTATTTTTGTGTCATAGATTAAACTAATGAACAATTTATTTTCATCGTTTCTATTTAAAATAGTTAAACTATAACTTCGATTGATGTATTTGTGTAATTTTTATTCGTATCGTATAGACTTTAAAGATGGTGATGTAGAGATCTTATTATTTACAGTTGAATGATTGAATATAACATAACTTGTTTTCCATTAGTAACAATAGCCTAGGTAAATCAAATAACTTACATTTCATCAGCTGGATTTACCAAAAACTAAAAATGTTTGCTTGTTGTGGCCCTGTTAACAAAAACAATTAATATATTTCATGTTTTTAACATTTTAAATTTGGAAGAATAAGTTGTAATATAAATCATTTTAGTATTATATAAGCTACATCAAACATTTTAACGCCTTTTTATTTAAGCCCTAATAATAATGTAATATAATGCATCACTCGGGACAAATTAGCAACTAACCCTTCTCGACCAAATCATACATTGTACGAAACGACATTAATACGGTTTTCTGACCGTTTACAAAGTTGAAAGTTACATTATATTATTGTCTTTGAAGTCTCAGGAGCGTTCTAGAATTGTGCCCGTACTTTAATATTTGAACGTGTTATATTCCTAATACTATCGGTACGTCTTCATTAGCGTCTTGTGCCTTCTACTAAAGCTCACCCAGATGGACACAAAGGAATTCATATTCGCCTTAGGCAAAGGGAGGTGATATTATACGTTATTATAACGATATGGCAGCAAAGCAGCAATTCGAAATACTTCATTCAATATATTAACATCAATGTACGCAAATGATTAGCATCAGTTGCTGTGGTCAGAGTCGCATTGTATTGTACCCTTTGAGTTTGGGTTCAAATTAGCTATTGATTGGCTTCCTTTACGATATATTAAATACTACACGTGATATTCAATAGGGTATTTCTCTTTGTATTTTACTAAACATTCTTGACGCTTTATAATTGCACAAGATAGCCCACTCAAAATCTTAGTTTAACTATCCGAATAATTCATCAAATCGAGTAGGATTAATCATTGGTGGTAATAATTAAATGGAATATGGTGATGCACAATACAAGTATTTATATTTGGACAGCGGTCGAGAGCGACCCCGTAGATAATTATTTGAAATATTTTGGCTTGAAAGGGTTAACTGGCGGTTTCTAAGACTTACAACGTAAAACTAAAGAGACAACTGTTTAACAATAATAACTTGTATCGATAAATATTTACTGAATTCCTCAACTAGTTGGTTTCAAAATAATGAAATTTGATTGAAGTATTTTAGAACAAGAAACGATAGTTAATTTCTTTAATAAATTATCATTATTTGTCTATTAAAATTCCATTAAATATTTTTATTATTTATAATAATAGGAAAAATCGATTTTATAATATGCAAATGAGCTAATTATAATTTAAAAGTGTAATATTTACTTTTATTCCCATTGTTCGGCACGAACCCAAAACCAGAAGCACCAACTATAACACCACTTGATTCACCTCCTGGTTGAGTTGCTGGAAACAACACTGGACCTTTAAAAGTAGTAACATAATAAATAATAAAAATGATAAAACTCAAATCGACAATTTCTTTAAATTTTTATGTATTTTTAACTGATTTTAATTTTGTTCAGTAAGATTTACCTCTGTTTTCTCTAGGATCTCTAGAGTTTTGAGGAGCTTTTTGTTGTAAAAAGAAATCTTCAAAACCATCAAATTGAGCTGATGTGAAATATAGTTGGCAAATTACAACGAACAAGACAACAAAAACCTGTTGAATAAAATATATGTATGTAATATATATATAAATATGTATATGAAATGGCTTAACTCCCCTACATTGATCGTATAAAACTAACCAAAAAAAGTTACTCAAAATTGCTATTAATACCGCCCTGATTAAAAAATCTTGGGTTTGCCAGTTAAGTTATTAGTTACGTTTAATTACTGATATTTATTATAGTTATTAATAATGGTATTATTTTATTGTCATTGTTTATAAAAGTTAATAATAAAATTATATTCATGATAAACGTGTATAATATAATATAATTATAAAATACTTCCAATCAGTTTATGTCTTAAACATAATTGCAATTAAAATAACATTTATAAACTAGATCGTACATCAATTTCATTTTGATCTGAACTAAGTATTTTAATGCCGAAACACTTTCACATTTATTTTGTTACGAACACAAAGTATTCGAATACAAAACTAAGAAAACACGTTCGATAATTGAGTTTTCTGTGATATTCATAACAATGAAATACAAATAGTTTTTGAAAAATAATTCAAGTTTGTATAAATCTTAAATAAAAGACAAACTATACTTTTCTTCAGATCAGTTTATTTACTTTTAATTATCGTTATTGTTTAACAGATAATTTTTTTTTTTTTGTGACATAATTTAAATCTCAAAGTTGATACACATATTATATAATTATTTTTGCGAAATTTTTCACGAGTTACAAAACTATTTTTCATTTTTGAACAAGGTCTTCAAATTTCTTCATTTAACAAGACAACTTTCTTCATTTTGCGATAAATTTAGATTCAGTTATATTTTTATGTAGTATTCAAGTTTTATGAATGAAAAATATTCACTATTATATTAAATATCAGTATGTTAGTTAAGTCATATGAGTTTATTACGAAAACTAATGAAGTCGATGAGCCAAGAAAAATTTGTGTTCATAAAATTATTACTCGTTTTACATCCTAAGTGTTTATGTAAGCTACTCAGCTAATGTGAAATCGTTCTGGTGCTCTTGAATAGTAACATTGACACACAAAAAACGTGCATTAGATTTGCATGGAGCAATGTCACGTGGTCCACCGACCGGTCATTTAGCATAGACACTAAAACATGTACATAATATTTCTATCGTATAAAATATTACTCAACAAATATTCATGTTCTATTAGTGTAATACTGCACAACAATAATAATAAATATGATCGTTTACATATGTCAACTGTGTATAAAAACAAATTTCCACTCTATTCTATGTAATATTAATATGTATACTTATAAATTATATCTCAACAAGTTATAAAAATAGAATGACAGCATAACACCTCTAGCACGATTTTAATTGTGGTGCCCAGAAGGCACCAGAGTATCTGATTATTTTCAAACACATTTTTTTAATAAAAATAGCGCTTAAAATTATTTTGTCGAATTTATGTATTAAGTAGAATTTAACATTTTGTCCGGTTGTTGGAATTTGAGGAGGCTGTTTCACAATTTCTCACTGATCATTTTTTAATGACAATCTTTGAACTGGTTGTACCTGGGTGATGAAATTTACAAAAAAGAATAATCATTAGCTAGCTCATCCGGGAAATTATGAAATAGCAGCCATTAAAAATTTTCTTGATAAAAGATATAACTTGTATTAGTCGCTCAAAACAATTTTATAAGTCAGTTTTGTTCGATACAGGTTTTAATGTCTAAAAATCGTGGTAATACGTATTTTCACTGAAAATCGTATAAAGGATTTTTAAGTAAGCATTATTTAAAGCCACGTATACGTCGAATTAATGATATAACAACAGAATTAATTTCATTCATTATATTGATGATAATCCTATGTAAAAGTTGAAGATCTCATTCATTATACATTTTTTTGCGCTGATATTTTATTTAATAGGTAAATATTTTAACTTATATAACCAAATTTATTTCTATTTCAAAATTTTTCGATTGAATTGGTAAAATATTAAAAAAACCTTATTTGGGAAAACATTTCAAGTACTTGTAATGGTCACCTATTGTAGGATGAATAGAATTTTGTTGTCTTCTGTAGGTCGAAAATTCAAAAATACACAATAATTTCTTTTACAGTCGAGGTGAAAGTCAAAGGGATTTTCGTATACAATACGTATTATGCAAATTTTTACAGTCTATGATACTTGAATTTTCTGAATGGCCTCAGCTGATATCAACACACTTCACGGTGAAATCATCGACACAAAAGATGTTTAATTAAGATTTAACTTATTATACAGAGCTATTGGGTGACGGACTTGCATGACGATGATATATTATATTGTGATAGGACAAAAAGGCTGACCATAACAGATAATTATGTTGATATATAAGGTTTGATTATAACAATGCTTAAATAACAATCCATAATGACGCGATTAAAAATTATATAACAATAAATAAAATATTTTTTTTTAAAAGCAGGAATAAGTTTTTATGTTTTAAGAAAACCAGTGATATTATTAATTGATAATAATTAAATTCTTATAAATCTTCTGTATGCGGCTATTAATTAAATACAATACCATTAATTTTTACTAATTATCACAATATTTTCATATTGTTTTTTAACACCTTAGTTTTCTTTTGATGTTCATAGATGCGTGAGAGATGACATATAAATATAATATTAAATTAGTTATGGTCAAAAATTTTTGAGAAATTCTCAGTAAAATGATGAAATATTTATCCTTGTTTAATGAACACACGTAATGGCCTAAGATTGATGTTCTGAAATGCACCGAAGAGCTCACTACTGAGTATAATATTAATAATCCCATCATAAAAATAAAAAAAGATTACCATGCTTTTAATTGTATTGAAAAATGGAGACATATAAATGGTTTACAAGTAATTATTAATGGAAATGTAAAATATTGGAATTAGTATAGTCGGCCATTGCATTATCATACTTAGTTCTGCTATTTGCTTTCAGGAAGTTAAATTGGTGGAACAAACAATTTAGAGGCCAAGCATGATGATATATTTCGTAACGGTTTATTTTGAATTTGAGTCATGCAATACAAATTGACAATTATAATTTGTTGGTTTTTGTCGATTTTGACTGTTATAATCATAAAAATAATTTGTGTGTAAAAAATGTTAAATATCAGAACTAAGTAACCTTATTAATTGTGATAGCTGAATCAGATATCAGTTGCAAATATTTGGTTTCTGTTGGTGATTTTTCTGATAAGTAATAACTGTCTTTTATCGGTGACTTCTATGCAGTATTGACTATTACAAAATATTACGATTCTAAAGCTTGAAGGTTTTTTTAAGATATATTGAACATCGTTTTTTTTTTTATAATAAAACCAGAATCTTCGAGCGCAATATATACCGTAGTGCTTTCACTAAAACCTTAACTAGAGAGTCAGCTTTCCTCGATTCATATAAAAATGTATACATTTTGTTATAAGTTCACAACATTTAGAACGATTTATTAAATTTTTAAATCGTTTCGAAATTAGGAATATTATGGTAATGTTAAGGTGTTAATGTACCAAACGCCTTGTCAAAATATAAATTCGACTCCAAAATCCGTGTCTGATTATTGAATTTTTGTTGGTTGAATTTTTATAATAATTGTTTCTATACGCTGAATTGTACATGACCCAACTGGAAATGGATGTCGATTTCAGCAACATTTTATTCTAATGACGGGCCAGCGACGACGTGTTTGCTTGTGCATTGACCAATTATCAACATTGATTGCTAGTTTTACATGCAAAATTGAACAGCATTTTTTAACTTGTATTAGCAGCACCATGCGTTCAAGTGTTTGATATATGTAAGTGAAATAGTAAAATATTTGTTAACATTTATCTGTTTTAGTACTTCTATTTTATTATTATAATTACATAAAATGAATTTTGGATAAACTTTTAATGTTCATCGTAATAATTTAAAAATTCTATACGTATAAATACAGAATAAAAATTGTTTGCTGAATGATTTTAACTAACTGAAATGTCCCTTTTAAACTTTAACTAAAATATTATTTATTACCGATAATATTACTGTTTATTAGAAAGTAAAGACAACAATGGGTCAACAGTCATTAGAATTAAATTTTTAAATATTCATTTTTGATTATTACATGAATTTCGACTATAATATTTCAGTGTTGATGAAATTTTACTATCTGATATCTACAGTAGTAGGTTAAAATAATAAACACTGATTGTTACCCTTTTTGTGATATACGACACTTATTTTATGATCATACGAGAGATTTGCCAATAAAATATTTATTCGTCAAACATCGAAGCATATACTGCTGATAACAATTATCATACTAACTGTACAGTGATAGTTGTGCGTAACTACATTCTTACAGCGAAGTCAATTGTATCTCATACAATAAAATCCCATTTTAGTCACTAGTCTTAATGTCAGTTAGTTTTCTCCGACAAATAATACATAAGAGAAATTGACTAGTTTTAATTATTTTATTCATATTTTTATTTAAGTTTAAGAGACTATAGTTATTAATTCAAAAATTACTATTTAAACTAGAACACGCTATGCTCTAAATAAAATATTCGTCAAGTTGCCACTTTTTTTTATATAATATAATATGTTTTAATGGTTAAAACTAAACAATCTTCACTTTACTTTTTTGGGCCAATTTTTTTTTAATTTTTACCACATAACCTATTTTATTGCTGATATTTTGAAACATTAAAAACTGAATCTGCTACAAAAGACTATGTAATAAACAACATTGATATAAAAACATTAATCGTTTCTTTTATTATACTGTTATACTACTACATTATTATACTATAGTAACTACAGTCCTACAATTTCCAATAGATATACACTAAGTTACAAAATAAAAACAGTATTATATCTTGTTACTCTCGTCTTGTTAACATTGTTGGGAGGTAAATATATTAAAGCAATCTTTTGTAAAAAATAACTTCTAAGAGAAACTATGAAAAAAAAATTATTTCGTTCGCAAATGAATGTTGTTGATTGAATAAAAAGTTATATATTTTAGTAGCCATACTTACTATTAAATAAATTATAGAAAAATTAAGGTAGGATACATTTTTAATTGGTATTTTAATTTTAATGAATTTTTTTAACTTATAGTAAAAAATTCTACATAAGTGTGATTAATGAACATTTGTGCATTAGTTTTACGAAAAAATCATTACTATACCCATTGAACATTATGTCATTAATTAATGATAAAATATATCTTTTGCTTTAAAAACTATTACAATTGAAGAATCCATAACAAAAAACAAAAAATGTCAACCACAATACACATTAGGAATTTTTTTTTTTTGAAGGAGAGGGAATTTCATCTTCCAAGAACCCCCAAAGTTATTTAAAAATTTAGTTAATTTTTAATTAAATTACCGTAGATAAAATGATGAAATAACTTTTGTGATGAAATGAAGATTCATGCTCTAAAAAAAAACCAACCCTAAAGATAACTAAATTGCGTTGTTAACTATGATAGACTTTTTCTTGATAAGAATTAATGATATTAAAAATATAAATAAGTATAATTTCATTGGTATATAATTTAAAGTATATGTACAAAAATATGAGATTAAAAAATCGAACTTTACAATATAATTTATTAATAAATTTAAAACTTTCATAATTCTTTCATTCTTGAAACTTTTATCAGTTACTTACCCTTAGAATTTGAGCCATTTTATTGATTAGTGTGGATAACTATAAACACTTAAAAAAGTAGAAAATTAAAATAAATATATTGTTTTAGTTCACTTGAGTAACGTATATTTACACGTTGGGTTGATTGGTGTTTAAATAACTAGATACTAGGGATTCGGCGGGAACAGTTTCGATTATATAGTCGGGTCACTTTTTCTTGCAATCGGTGGGAATATAGTAGTTGTTTAGTAAATCAGTAGTTGTTTAGTGGGAGAGGATTATAGGCATTGCCGTACATAGGAAGAAAACTACGGTCGTCTTATTTGCACGGAAGAACATCATTATCATAAAAGGTGTAGCATATTGGCTTTCAAGGTCACCACTCCAGAATTTCCTGATCTACTTGTTGATGTTTTAATTATACATCTCAATATATTTTCATAATTATTAAACACTTTGTTTAAAAGTAAAAGTAATGCATAATTTATTTCAATGTATGCAGATTATGTCCATTACAGACATGGGTACAGCAAAAGCGCATCTCTTGTTGTACTTGGCTGATCTAGTTTTATTGAATTAAGCCGTTAATATTTGTAATTCGATAGAAAAAATGCTAATTTACGTATAATTTAAAGGAGAATTATCATAATATATTTTACTCAATCTGAGTTTACTAAAGATAAGATAAAAGCCCTACAGGTCCCTTAAATCTTCCATAAAATATACACTATTTAGGAAAACCCATGGGCAGATACATATTTTTACTGCTCTTGACTTTAATCTCTGCGCATGTTCATCGTTACATAAATATATATTTACAAAATCATGAGTATTTATGGTCTAAAAATAATTATGATTAGAATACAGTTTCAGGTGAATAAAGTTGATTAGTTTACAAAAATTACGTTCGACCTAATTTTTCAGATATTGAATATATTAAGTATAAACATATTTAGTAAAAATAATTATTACACCATACCAATTTAAATAGGAGTATAATTGACATTTCAACGTGTTCTATTTTAATCTGTCGTATTCAAGCTAATGCAACTGAGTTAATTTTAATAGTTTGACGTAAATTTGTATCTTGTAATACACTGCCAATCTAACAAATATTCACTAATAGTAAGGGATAGATTTGGGAGTCAAACTCTATCAATAAAAACTGTTTTTATACATGCTATTAAATTATATAAAAAATAATGGGGTAGTATTTATAAATTAAAAACCCCTCCATTAATAATTTACACCAACAGCCCTGTCGATTAAACATTTTATATGATAGTAAGCATTTTAAGTGATTTCTTAAATTTGTCACTTTCTGTCAAGAAAATTTTCATATGTTTTTTGCGACTAAAAATACTAATTTTAAGCTCATAGAAATTTATTTCCTAATTGTTTAATTTTATGATTATTGTTTATATTTCATGTGATAAGATTTCAAGTAAAAAAAAAATATATATAAAAAAACCACTTCATAGGAAAAATACTTTTAAATTTTAAAAATATATTTTTTTAAATTTATATAATCCTTTAAGAAATTAAAGTATTACAAATAAATCTCTAGAAAAATGTAAAGAATTAACCAAAGTCTCTTTAACCCCTCAAAAAGACAAAGTGAGTTTTAATAAACAAATCACAGTATAAATTATGGTAAACATTTCTCTTTACTAGACCAGGACATTTAAAAATGACATTACGACATTTAAAGCCTGTTTTTAATACAAAATTACATTTACACAAAGACAACATGTTATACAATTTGATAATTAAAAACATATTTTAAGAAATTAGAAAAAATGAAGGAAATGTTAGTTAAAATGTTTGATGTCATTTAAATGATAGCATTTTAATTATCATTGAGATAATTAAACTTTTTATTGAAATATTATGTCTTATTTTTTAATTTTAATTAAACTATTAAGTAGTATTTATTAACAATTTCCTATATATTTTTTTATAAAATAACAAAACCATTATATTTATGGTCATGAATTTAAAAAAATAATGTTAAAAACTCATTATTTTTATTGTTAAAACAAGAAGCATTTTCACAGATAATCTTATATACATAGTTAACAATTATGTTTATATTAGAGCCGGTGCGTAACTTTCTAACTATTTTTACTTTTATGCGTGCCCTTAATATTTTATGACTAAACATTTTTATATTAAAATATCAGAGTATATGTAAAAATAAAAATAAAATAGAAGAATTCTTATTAAGCACTAATTACAAATGACTAACAAAAATAATGGTGTTATTCGATTTGTTACCATAGCGTTCATACACTATATAGTAAAGTAATTTTAAATATACATTTAAAGATTTTCTAATTTGTTTACCACCATTTTTTTTTTTTTTTTTTAAATAAATTGCGTATTGAAAGGTACTAGATTATTATGTCGCGCCATCCAAAATGATTTTCTGTATCTACTGAACTAGTCAATCAATTTAATACCAATTCTATTCATCACACTTAAATAAACAAATCGATTTTCATATAATTTTCTTGTTAAAAATTGTGACTGATAGAATGAGTTGTGGTAAAAAATTAAAACTAATGCGCTTAAATGCTGTTATCAAAAACAAATTTAAATTAAAAACTATAGCACAGTGGGGTAGTGGCAAGACGTAGTCGAGACAAGTTTAGATGATATCTGACAGTGATTAAAATCACTATCATAAGAAAAGCTTCGATGCAGATCTGTAGGTAGTGTTTAATTTTAAAAGTTATTTGATTATTCCAAAATCGACGTAAACTCCTATTTACTTAATTATATCCTGATTAGTATTTATTTTACTTATGACTATAATATATGAATAAATATTTGTTATAGTAATTAAATTTAGTATGAAATTGATATTCAATAATTTAATATTATAATTTTTACGGAAGAATTATAGTAAATTATAAAGTAGTTGTACATTTTGTTACTTGGCAAACGAGTATAAAAATTATAAGGCTTCGTGCAATACTATCCAAAAAACATTTGTTTTGACTTATGAATAAATACAAAGAATTTTTATCAGAGACCATAATATACTTTTCTAAACCGATTTTCGCGCCGAATTCAAAATATGCAATTAGATTTATTGTATTACCTCTTATATGATATTATTATAATTAGTCAAACATAATAGAAAACATAAAACAATTTTTTTAAAAATTTGTTTTCGAATTATTAGTGATTTTGATTTTTAAAATGTCTATCTTAACCTATATTTATGGTTCTGTTAAGTTTGTTATAAAAAAATATTGAACTTTTTACATAACTTTTTTAACTCAATTTGCAAGTTTTTGATTAATTAGCTAAGTCGTGGACACAATTTTTTTCAAATTAATATATATTACATAAGTTTTAATTTAATATATATAAGTATATATGTATATCATTTTGAATCACTTACTCCACAAAGAGATTCAAGTAAAAGGTCAGATTTTCAAAAGAAAATATACCAAATGATAGGTAAATACCTAAGGTACCAATAAAAATTTTTTTTTTTGATCCATACTTTTTTCATAAAGTTATATCAGTTTTAAGTAAAAAAGTTTTAAAAATGTAATTCTGGGGAGAATTTCCCTCATTTACGGAAAATGAGGGTAATGTTTTAATTTTGATGGTAATGTCTTTGACTAGACACGATTAATGCCTTCTCAGGTAATAATTTTTTGCTTCGAATTGAAGCTAATAATTGTAAAATATAAATAAGAAAATTAAATAAATAATCTATTTAATATAAAACAATTTTAGACATTTTTTTATTATAAATACTTTTAACAATATTAAATTTAATCAAAATATTATACTAAGTGTCACATCAATTTCGCGTTAAGACAATTGAGAACCGAACATTTCCAAGTATTATAAGTTTTATTGAAGAACTAGGTTATTTTAAAATAAGATAAATAAACTAAAATGGCTATGAAACATAAATATATTTTATGTCAATAAATTACAAAATAAAAGCTAACATTAAAAATATAATAAATTTATAAATAATTAAATTTTAACGATTAATTAATTAATATAATAGATATGCTGGCATTTACAATTAACAATTTCCCCAAATATTGATGAATGATAAAGCAATATTATCTGCTTGATTAAATAAAAATCATCAGCAATATTTTTTTTTTTTAGTTTGGTTTGATTAACCATATATCCGTTAAGTTTTGTAGTTAACGGTATTTAAATATAAAATAAAATTACAAAAATTGTATTCAGAATACATATTTTTTTAAGAATTCAGAATACCGTAAAAATATCAAAAAATTATTAAAATACTTTTATATTAAAACTTTCATTCAAATATTTTATAAGACTGTGTTTAGCATACTTGCTCTTATTAATGCATGAATAAATAAACAAGCATTATGAAGATCAAAATTACGTAATTGCATAGTATTTGTTAATTTATATTTAATGTTGTTTAATATTTATAAATATATAATAAATAATATGAAAATTTAAAAAAAAATTTCAAGTTTTTTTGACTTGAATTAGTCAGTTAGATAAGCTAATCTGTCCAAACTATAATCAAAAATATATCTATAATTTTATATTATTGAATTTTCAAATAACAATTTTTAGACTTGACATTTAAAAATTCATTTTTTTATCATATTTTGAGTTATTAAAATCAATTATTAAAAAGTCCATTTAGTATTAGAGTTTATAATAATGATAAGAAAGTTAAAATTTTAATTAAAAAAAAATTATACTTTAATATTTTTTTAAATAAATAATTCATATTTAATAGTTCATAATTAAATGAATAAGCAAGATAAATGTAAAATTATTTATTCTAGAAAAAGTGTATAACTGTATAAATAATTCTTGCATTTTTTTGTAGTTACATAATTTTCACACATCTTAATGTAAAATAAAAAAAACTGTACCCAATAAAATATTTAATACATTTAGAAATATATTTCATTATTATTATAATTCAAATATGTGCAACAACTGTGGCTCAATACCAAGTTGTCCTTATAAAGGTAGTTTTTATTTAGATCTCGAATAGATATTTTACTAAATTGTTTTAAACGTACTACATTTAGTGTTAAACTGTATAATTAAAACTGACCTAATAATATTTTAATAAAATAAATATCTTAAAATAGATACGATTTTGTTTGAATTTTTTAATCAATGTTTATGAAAATAAAAAT